GATATTCTCGTTGATGGCTACAATAGTCAAGATAGGAATTCAGTTCGTTATTATCTTCTATTCCGAGCCCGTGACACCAGTACTCCCAGGCCATGCAGGCATTGAAGGCAACGAAGAAGCCGACAAAGAAGCCAAGATGGGCTGTCATGGCCCTCCAACACATCACCCACCACCTGCATCCATAGCTGCCGCCAAGCAGGCAGCCCAGAGAATACACTGGCGAGTTTTTGCACAGTACTGGTCAAAGGAAGCCCCAAAACGATACAAGGACCTCAAATAGGCTTAGAAAGACGTCCCCCAGAGCTCCTCCTTCCCAGAGCTGCCCTGGGCCGCCTCCTTGCTATCAGAAGCGCTCATGGTGACTTTGCAGAGTACCATGAGCGCTTCAAACACGAAGATGCCCTGCTGACATGCTCATGCGACCGCAGAAAGGATCCATCCCACTTCTATCACTGTAGAGAGGGCCGCAAAGCAGCAAGACATCCATGGGGTCATCAGCCAGTGACTGAGATCCTCAGCACAAAGGTCGGGTTCACAACTTCACTGCATATGCAGATTGGCTGGGAAAATCCAAGTTTTATACAGACATCTGCCGACGCTATTAGTCATCTAAACATGCCAAGTTTTAGGATGCCCAGGATTACCTCGGGCCTCCCCTCCCTTCCCTTTATCCCACCCTCATTTTGCACCCCTTTATTCTTTCTTGTCCGCGTTCTTGCTTTTCTGTTCAAAAACCAATACGCCCGATTCGCTGGTTGACAGCTATGAAAACCCAAGCAGCCCCCCGCGCGGGGGGGCTACCTGTATTTAGATGATAGATGGTAGTTTAGCTAGGAGACAGGCAGTTCCGATCTGCCCGTCGTATGTCCCGCATCGGGACCAGGGCTTTTCCGCTTCCGTGGTATCCAATCCAAGGGTGCGTGGAAAGACCCGATTCCCGAACCTCGACGTAAAATAGAAACACACATACACACACTACTACTGCAAGCCCCGAGGACCGAGATCCACCACACACACGATGATGCAGTCTCCGAGGCTCAACAAGTCTTGCGACCAGTGTCGGAATCGTAAAGTTCGTTGTATTGGTATGCCCTACGTCTACCACGTCCCATCGGCGCAACTACTCCCAGTCAAGCGCTCACCTTACGCAGTCCCGTCCACCCCGCCCGGAAGACCTGTTGCGTGCACCCACTGTATAGTAAGTCTACCAAACAATCACTGTAGGGACGGGCATCTGACAGTCAATAGAAACGAAACGAGACGTGTCAGTTCAGCAACCTGAAACGCAGGCTTCGCCCGAAGGGTAAGACACGATACTACATGGGATTACCATGAACTACCATCTAACTACTTACAGATTCTTCAACTCCCCAGAAAAGCCCAAGCTCAGACTTCAAACCCTCATCAGATCTATTTATAGATCGGCTCTTTCGAAACCCATCAGAGAGTGCTGTCCTCTACGATGAATTTTCCATCCTTAAAGTGAGCTCCCAGATGTGATTGACTTCGTTTACTAACTGGTCAAGGTTCATAATGATCGAGGTATGCACCGTCCACGAGCGCAGGGATACAGTTCACACCGCTTACTAAGACCAGTCCCAAGTTCAGGACTTGCTTTTTTCTCCGAAAAGCGAGTCGACTCGTTGGTGAAAAGGCTTGGTCATACGCAGGTCAGGGACTTGGTCCACCAGATTGATAAAACAATCAGGACGCGTTTACTCGCGAGACCTGACAAAGACATATCGCTATACAGTCTGGCTAAAGTTCAAACTGAACTAGTGATTGATCCAGAGGCGGCATCTCATATTCAACGTGAGTTCAGCTTTTGCACCGTATACCTTTCTAACAGGCACAGGTTACTTCGATGTCCTCCATCCAATATATCCCTTTCTCGATCGGCAGTCGTTTGAAGAAAGAGCTACGAGACCAGACTTACTCCACGTTCTAGGAACAGACTACGCATACTGCGGACTGTACTACGCTGTATTGGCTCTCGGCTGTCAATACAATGGCTTTAGCTCGTTTATTCCCAACGATAGCCATGCGTGGAAGCTCTTTCAAACCGCTCTTACCCGCCTAGACCGTATCCTTATGAGCACCGAATCTCTATCAAATCTCCAGGTAGGTCGAACACCGTAATCTAATGGTCGTTATTAATCGTTTATAGGCATTAACCGCAATGGTATGTTCATTGTTCACGGTTGTGTATACAAGCTAATTTTGTAGGCTATTTTTGCGACAAACACGTTTAGCCTTCAACTAGATCAGACCCTACTAGCTGAGGCCGGTCGCATGGTACTTGCACTTCGCTACCACAAGTCGATCGTCAGCGAGGATTCGACATTATGCCACCGAACCTTTTGGGTGATATACCACCTCGAGAAGCGATACTCTTTCCAGGCCAGGAGCAGCTCAGTACGTCTTCCCTCTTATAAAAGAATCGTTCTAACAGGGATAGGTGATTGCGGACTACGATATCGGGTGCCCAATTCCAAATACTCCAGAATCAGTTCTTGGAGAGTACAACTGGCTCATCTCCTCTGTCCGGTTCGGCCGCATTCTGGCCGTCGCTTACGCCTCTCTGTTCTCAATTTCCGCATCGACCCAGCCTGACGACACAATCCTAGCAGCAGTCGACCATGTTCATACATTGCTCGAGGAATGGCGGCTATCCATCCCGCTGGATTTCAGGCCAAAAGAGCCACTCCAACGACGTCGTCTGATTGATGGCGCGTCCAAGGAGATAGCGCTACGAACGTACTACTACTATTACCATGTAATCATCGCATTAGAACGACTTACTCTCCACGCCAGTCGCGACATCGCAAGAAGCGAGAACAGCATGAGGGCACTACTCAACACCGCGAGGGAAGTCATCAACCTAACGCGATACATTGACGTGGAGCCCTACACACCAGTATTGTACGCACACTCCCAGGATTCAAGAACGTGATTAACTCTCATAGTATACTCGCAATCATACCTCTCTCCGCTTTATTTATCCTATTCGACTTTGTTGTCCACCATCCAACCGACCCAGACATACGCGGGCATTTAACCCTTCTTGACATCGTGGCCGGGCACTTTAGCCAGCTAGACCATGCATCGAATGGGGCAATCAAGTCCAGCTACCTTTCTGGGTTCTCCCACATGGCTCGACAGTACGTGCAAAGCGTACCTAAACGGCCAGCTGGTGATGCGGAATCAAGCGAGCCTAGGGATGGCCAACCATCGGCTGATATTGCCGTCCCTTCACTTGACGCCTCAAACGACGCTCTAATGGCTCCAAATGACCCCACGCTAATGGAAGGGGTAGATTACGGGAGTCTGGACAGTCTCTACTTTCTAACGCCGGATAGTAACTGGACGGCGGGGATTTCCTCTCTTGCTGAATTCGACCCGAGGGAGTATTATGGCTCTATCTTCTTATGACGAGATTAACATGCGCTCGGGCATCGGGATTCTGAGTACTACTCGTATATGGGGGCCATTCAGCCCGGTGGATCTTGCCTCGGATCCTAACTATTATAGCAGCATATTATTGGCTCATGCCTGGGGCTTGGCATGCCATTGCCGCCTTTCATTGCTGATTCAGTTCGGTGCTCGGTGGTTTGTGAGGCTATGCTGCCAACTTGTGTATAGCCTCCCGCTCGGTGCTCGGACATACTCACCCACATCTAGACCATTATTTATACCTAAACCCCAGGATGCTTCAATCAACACAACACCATTCCACAAGCCACCATGGCCCTCACACCACACCAAGCCCTCTCAATCGTGCTGATAATCTACTACATTCCCTCGATCGTCCCCACATCCTTCCTCCTCCACCGACACAGCATAGGCAGAGCATGGGGCTGGCTGTACCTCTTCATTTTCGCGGTCTTCCGAATCACCGGCGCAAGTCTCCAATTCGCCTCAGACTCCAGTGAAAGCAATGGACTGCGACGGGCCGCGTCAACGCTCGCGTCTATCGGCGTCATGACCCTTCTACTAGCCATGTTGGAGGTTATTGAGAATGTGTACGTCACCGTAGCGAATAAGTGCTTAATCGGGGGGGGGAAACTAACAAACTCAGAAAATCAACATTCGCCTCCGACCCTATCCACCCTCGCATCTGGATCCTCCTCCACCTTTCGCAATATGCTGCTTTCATCCTCAGCATCATCTACACGTTCACCAGCCGCGACGACCTTAGTCACGCCGCCGCGATAATTGTGGCATGTCTATTCGCTTGTCAAGTTGTGATTTCTGTTGTCTTTTATATCCGGCTTCGCTCAGACCCAACCCGCAATAACCACCAGACTGGGAATGGAGATAAACACCACGACAACGTCAATGCGAACAAGAAGACGACTTTTCTACTCCTCCTCGCCCTATCCAGCACACCATTCCTAACAGTCCGGGTAATTTACATGCTCCTGTCAACATTCGCAAACAGTCCGCCTTTCAAAGGGAGAGACCTAGATGGCGACAGGGACGCGGATACATCCGCCAACGTGTATGTTGTTGCATTCATGCAGTACCTGATGGAGTTTATCGTCTTTGCGCTATTTGTGTACGCGGGGTTTGTCATGCCGTCGTTGCAGAAGGCAAAAGAGATAGAGAAGGAGAAGAAGAATAAGAATAAGCTGTTGAACTCCCAGGAAAGGAGTGAAAGTGTATAGACTGGGATTATATTATACTATAGATCGAGCAAAATGCTCCAACTATTGGAATCCATGTGGTTTAAACACCACCTTATTGGTCTCAGCGGCATTAAACCTCCTAAGATCATCTGAAAACGGACTCATCAAGGGAGGGTAATATCAGATCAATAAAGTTCATTTTCTCCAATATCTCCCGATTACCACAGAGCGATGCAATAGCCTCGTCGAAAACTACATGTACGGGACAGCGCCCAAACCGGATGCTGACGTTTTTGTTATAGCAGTCGGCAGCTCTGAAAGGCATATCGCCATCATGAACACCTGCTCCCCATGTCAGTGACAAAAATATGCGACGTCCCGAAGGATCCATATCGATAGGACTTATTTTCCTGCCCGTGATAACAATGTCCAGGGCAGTTTTAAACGCAGGACTGAGCCCCACGTCTTCGATGGCACAATCGACGCCATTGACCTTTTTGTTTCCAAAGCACTCAGCGTAGTCTGCAGAAAGGGCGAGCTGTCCTCGGTGCGCCACCAACTCCCTAAGTCGTAGTTTGTCCTCGTAATGTCCTATTTCTCTCCAATTTCTCCTTGTAATTTGCAATCCAAATCTCTCAATTCACGTTGAGCTTTTATCAAATGGCCATATCTCGTATGAAAACTCTGCGCCTCCTTTCACTGTTGGATGAACCATGATGATCTGGCGCACGGCATTTTGACCAAGTCGACCCCGGGCCCATTGCCGTGGTTAGTGTCTGCAGATGATGTTTGTCAGCCCATTCTTGGGCCTCTTCGCGAGGCACGCCACTCTATAGAACCTGGCTGTTGTGAACTTGTGAACCCATTTGTCGGGTTGGAAATGTTGGAAAATTTGAGCCGCCTCCTGGACCGTCAGGTACTGACAAAAAGCACTAACAAGCGGGCTTTGAGTCGATCCTTGGTTAGATAACCACTGAGCAATGACCTTAGCTGGGGCGAATCGAGCTTATGCTTACGTGTACTAGGGATACTGCGAATCCCCTAGATGAATAAACCAAATACCCAAATTTGCTACACCTTTCCCCAGGTCCGGTATCCCTGATGCGCGGTGGCGCACTTTTTCCATATGCCAAAGAAGACTTTCCACACTCATAGCAACTGATAAGAAATGCCTTGAAGTTCGCCAAAGGTCCACAACAACGTAGTCCATCTTCCCATCCACTTTCGTGAAGCTGAATGTCAGGTTAAGGCTCTGCAGGAATTCTTTGATGATCGCCAGAAGACTTCGAGGTCCGGGGGTGCCGGTCTTGATACGTATGATTGAGAAGATTGCCCAAACCGTCAGGTTCGAAGTATCCACAGGACATGCTTTTTCGCGTAGATTCATGGTCGGAGAGGCTATAAATAACACTTCTCACAAGCCTATGGCATTGCCTCCCGCCGGATGATATTGCCGCACGATTAGCGGGTTCAATATTGTCTGGTTCGAAACTGTACTATTATTTAATCAAGTTTATTGTCCATACCGAGCCCTACAGCTATGACAGACCATGATTCATGGACCCGAGGCCAGCAGCTATTCTACAGTCTCTTGTTTGTCACGGGCTCGGAATAGTAGATACTATCGAACTGAATTCCTATCTAAACTATTGTAGCCATCGGCGAGAATATCGAATCTGGAGAGGAAAGAAGAAGAGGAATCTATCTACAGGAAGAAAGGGGTTTTATCCATGGGTTGTGTGGCTGCGCTAAGTGCTCTCTTTGTTTGCTTGGATGGCGGCGTTTGTCGATATCAGCCATCAGGGCAGCGTTGAGGCTCTGAGCCGTCACACTGGGAAAGACTGGGATGACCCAGTGGCCGACTGGCGTGGACGCTATCGTGCTAGTCTCGAACGTTACCTTGAGCCCTATCAGTGGCGACTTTCGGATACCCAATCACACCTACTAGTATTCAACCGTCAGCTATGGCGATCTCTGAGCTTGAGATGATATGTGCGCCACTGCCTCAATCATACCTTTACCGCTGAAATTATCCTAAGCAAAGGATTATATCGAAAAAGGCGACTAAGCTGTTATGAACTGGCGCCAATGCACAAGCTCTGCCAATATGTATCGGTACGCGGCAGAAGCCTCAACCATTGCGGACCCTGATATCACCGCATGGTAAGAAGTAATGATAATTCTCTGGCCTTTGCCCATACAGAGCCCCTGACGGGGCCCATTACGGCATGGAAGCAGAGATAGCTTGCCAGGGAGATCAGCCAGCAATCCTGACACGGTAGACCAACTACAGAACACAGAGGAACTGGCTGCTCGACCTTTTAGCCGCAGTGGCTCCGAAGCACATGACAAGCCGCTATTTTCAACTAAAAGTCAGGACACGTCGCCATTGGAGCATACTTACACCGGATTCAAGCCCAGTAAAATGCAACCTGTCAAGGATGTGGTTCTTCAACAGAGACAGTACACCATCTTCTCTTTGAATGCCGGCAATGGCGACACCAACGAAACAAGCTCTACAAGGATCTGGAGACAGGTGGGGTTATGGGACCCACCGCTGCAGAAGAAGAAAGGCTGGGTAACCCAAAGAAGATACTCAATTTGGCGCCATTTCTCCTTATCGAGCTTAGAATGGAGATATTCTGCACAGCAAAGCCCTCTGAAGTATGTCAGGCAATATGGGCAGTGCATCAACCAGGCTGATTTTCATTACACAAAAGAGTATTTGAGAAAACATACACCAGGGCTGTCGGTCCGGAATACAATAGCTAAATAACAACTCGCGGATAGCATGGCAATGTCCCGTCGCGGCGTGTTAACCAATGGTGACTGTGTAATCAAATTGGAATTGAAATCACCATATCTGGACCCCAGGATCAAGAAGTCATGGCCGTGTAGGTGCATAGGATGGTCCTGGGCAAATAGCGAGTGGATCACAAATGATACCCATTTATTTGCATTGGGCAGTTGGATGATATCAAGGTCGGGTTTTCCCATTGGGTCCGGAAGGAGGTCTTGTTCATCGTCCAGAGCCGCGCGTTGGCAATGTCTTGGATCACAACTTCTTCATCTGCGCCGTATGTATAGGTATCGGAGGCGTTTAGCGGAAGATAAGGGGCAAGACTTGAAGAGTCCTCATCAGCACATGAGTCTGTGTAGCTATACGCAGAGGACAATAGTTAAAAGCGGTTTGCTTGAGATCTGGATTAAACAACCATTTAGAGAACTAGGTCTACAACAAGAGAAATCATTCAAAGCTCACAACCGACACAATAGATTGTCATCTCTAAGCTGTTTAAGGACACCATATGCAAAACAAGTAGAAATAGAAACTAACATCAAAAGCAGCACTTCAATTAACCAACAACAAGCCTTCTCCTCCCTTCGTGGAATCACCCTGTAACTGTGCTTGTAGAAGACCTGGGCGTGAGCGTAAACCCTTGTCCATACCGTTCCTTGAATTCGGTCTTGGCTTCATTCTCTGTCGCATCACCAGAAATGAATGAAGCAGTACCCTCTGAAGATGGGCCGGCATTCTCGGGATTTCGAATGTTGATGCTCGTCATATCTCGAGATAGGTGTTGAATTGTGACGTCACTGAGGTGGCCTCCAACCTGCCTCGTCCGCCATCCTAACCCTCGATTTCTACCGTTGATGGTTTGCCCAGTAGTCGAAACCATGAACTGTAGAGCGTCGCCAGTAGCGTAATTGTCAATAGTGCTCATGTTCTCTTTCAGATTATCATTTGCCTTAGAGCAGATATCCATGCACTTGTGAGCCGTTTCCCATTCATCCCGCAGCCTAGTAAGATCCTGATGTTCTTCCTCAGACGTCATAGCCGTCTTTGATTTTGTCACCATTCGATTCATTACATTTTGCATGCGCCTCTCCAGTTCGGAAATTGTAAGACGAAGATTATTTTTGCATTCCTGCAGGCCATCGTTTGTCACTCTTTCAGTGTCCAGACCGAGTCCAGAGTCACCATTGCGCTTGAATGAGAGCTGAACCTGACTAATGTGGTCGGACAACTGGGCGCAGATTTGGAGACATTTTTCTGTGCTTTTCCGCTCTTCTTTTATCTGCCGTAGCTCCAGTGCATCTGAGTCAGACTCTGACAGAGTTCGTTCAAGTATCAGTTCAAGCTTTTCGTCGATGCTTTCAAGGTGAGACTCGAGGTCAGCTTTCGCAGTCTCGACGAGACATTCGTAGTGCTCAATGTTCTCTGCAGTGATTAAAGATTCGCGACTGGAAAACATATTAGCTCAAAACCGGGAAAAAAAAAAAAAAAAAAAAGAAAAAAAGAAAAAGAAAAAGAAAAAGTGGAAGTTGGACAAGCCTTAAAACTGTCTCATTGCTTAGGAAACATAGCAAACAAACTTACAGGTTTGCGTCAGTGAGAGCAATATTGATAGTCAACTTATACCCAGCCAAAAGTCGCCTGAAACCATCAAGATCATCACCCATGTACCTTAACCTCGCCCAGTCTCGGAAGCTGGTCCGATTTCCAATAGACCGCGACGAACACTTCAGAATTTCTTGTTGAAACTCTTCACAGGCTTTACCACATCGTAGTAAGGGAAGATCGAGTGCAGAAAGGTCTATGTCGGTGGTAGCATCAATTATTTCAGTGAGCGAACCTAGAACCCCCCTCAAAGCCTCAAGTTCCTCCAAAAGGTCGCGTACGCGTTTCGGATGGGAGTGGAAACTCTTAACAGTCTCGTATAATTTAATGCTAGAATGGAAGGCAAAGGTAGACAAAGCCAACAATCCGGAAGCCAGACCAATTGGTTCTGCCATCGGGCTGATTGCTTCAATATGTGGCGTGTGGTATGTGGTATGTGGTACAGTGTATGCGGTGGAGGTTGCAAGGGTAGGGAGACGTTTGTGTCAGAGTCGCGGAATTGAGGCAGCCGGCCTTTAATATTTAGCTGTGAGGGACAGATTCTCAACAGGGGCAAAAACCAATCACGATCGCGCTGTAGACGCCTATTTGGTGTGACAGTAAGCACCGATCCAACAAGGCAGCGAGTAAACTTCGAGGGAGCGGAGAAATGGTTGGGTGGAAATCGATTCTATTCCCCCGGCCTCGGTGAGGAATTAGGTCAGCTTGAGGTGGGCCAAAATTTGTGTCAGACGACTAGTCCAAATTAGGCGATTAGTAACCGCCGCGTCAAGTGACTATTCCAAATTAGGTAATCACGTGCCTTGTCTAGCGGTCATGTCAGGCGGTCAATAAATACGCACTAGTTATCAGTTTACAATCCATCATCTTTAATTTCTTTCCGAATTTCACAGGACTACAACTAGTTGTCAACTAGTCAGAATGGCTGCTTCTACCCCCCTTATCAACCAAGTCCAGTTCTCTGATGATGAATCCTCAAATGTACAGCTCTCAAATGACGGATTTGATGCTCAGGAAGTCTTCGAAATCAATGAGGTAAGAAATCATATACTAGTTGTGGACT